ATGTGTGCGAGTGAGTGAGTGAGTGTGAAAGGCAGTGAGGATGTGTACGAGTTAGAGTGAGAAATAATGAGTGTGTGTGACAGTGAGTGCGAGACATAGGAAGCATGGGAGATCGTGAGTGAGCGTGACAGATAATTAGAAAGTGTGATAGACAGTGAGTATGTGTGATCATTCAAGCTGTGTTAGATTCTGGAATCGCCTGATTGTTTTCATTTCAGGAAATGTAAGACTGTAATGCAAGAAGGAAGGGAGAAATAGAGAAAATAGTGAACCACAGAACCACTAGCCTAACATCAGTCATCAGGTAAATGCTGGAATCCAATATTAAGGAGCTATGAACAATACATAGACAATCCTAATATGGTTAGACAGAGTCAAAATACTTTTATAAAAAGTAAATTGTGTTTTGCAAATCTAATAGTTTTTTGAGGACACAACCTGCAGAGTAGATTAAGGTCAGCAGTAGCTACAGCATATTAAGATTTTCAAAAAGCATTCAGCAAAGTACCACATAAATGGTTACTACACAAAATTAATGCACATGGGGTTAGGGTAATATATCAGCACGCATTAATGTTATTAAATGATACAGCATGTTGGAGAGGCCAAATAACATCCTGTTATTTCTTCCACTTTTATGTAAAATTCTGACACATTAATTCTCAGTATATGTAGCCTGTCATTGATAATCCTGCAAGAAGGTGATCAGGAGACATCTTCTTGAAACACCGCATTCCTTAAGGAGAAGGTGTTCCCACTGTGCTGTTAGGTAAGCATTTCCAGGACATTGACCCAGCCGCAGAGAAGGAACAGCTGATATATGTCCAAACTGAAATGGTGGAATTGGGATGTTGGCAGGCTTTGTGGTTCGGATCCATATCACCACACGTGGGCCTTCAATAATTTGCTACAATTTGAGGAATGCAGACAGAGAGTTAAAGTGCTTTAGTTCTTTCAACTGTTTAGTGATGGAATACTTAAGCTGTCAATTGCATGATGCAACAAAGGACAGTATGTCAGTTCTCTCCTGCAGGTGCTTGGAAAGAATTAAATCACAAAAGGAATAAAAACAGAAAGTGCTGGGGAAATTCAGCAAATCTGGCATCCTCAATGGAGAGAAAGCAGAATTAATGCTCTGAGCCCAATATGACTCTTCTGAATACATGTGAAGTCATACTGGATTCAAAGCGTTAACTCTGTTCCTGTCAACACTGATGCTGCCAGGCCTGCTGAACTTCTCCAACACTTCTTGTTTTTATTTCAGGTTTCCAGCATCTGCAGCATTTTAGTTATAAATAGTACAACAAACTTGATAATCACCTCTGTCCTCCAAATCTTTTGAAGTTCTACCCACATAGATTCTGCCAAGAAATCATTTAGTTCTGGCAACAAAATACTCCAGTAATACTGGTCCACTTGGCTAAACTGGTGAAATGCCCCACTTCAGAGACTTGAGTTCATAATCTTGGTTGACACTGCCAGTGCAATACTGAGGGAGTGCTACATTCATAGATCATAGAACATAGAATCCCTACAGTGAGGAAACAGGCCCTTTGGCCCAACAAGTCCACACCGAGCCTCAGAGCATCTCACCCAGACCATCCCCCTAATCTACAAATCCCTGAACATTATGGGCAATTTAGCATGGCCAATCTACCTAGCCTGCACATCTTTGGACTGTGAGAGGAAACCGGAGCACCAGGAAAAAACGCACGCAAACACAGGGAGAATGTGCAAACTTCACACAGACAGTCGCCCAAGGGTGGAATTGAACCCGGGTCCCCAGGGCTGTAAGGCAGCAGTGCTAACCACTGAGCCACCGTGCCGCCCTAATTTGTTGGAGAAGCCATCTCTTGGGATGAGTTATTAGACTGAGGTTCCATTTCTGGATGTTAAAGATCCCATGCCAGTATTTTGAGGAGCACGGGAATTATTCGCAGTGTACCAGTCAATATTATCCCTCAGTCAACATCACAAAACCACATTATCTTGTCATTGCCACATTGCCATTTGTTGGAGCTGGCTGAATGCACATTATCTTCTACATTTCTGACAATACAATGCATTTGAAAAACATCTCCTTAGCAATAAACTGTTTTCAAAGAAGCTGTGCTGAAAGGTGATATAAAAATGTAAGTCTTTCTCTAGTCTACTGCAGAGATATTCTCACTGGCTCTTTACTTTAAAAGTAGAGACGGGAGGTGATAGCCTAGTGGTATTATCACTGGACTATTAATCCAGAGACCCAGATAATGTTCTGGGGATCGGGGTTTCAAATCCTGCCATGGCAGACGGTGGAATTTGAATTCAATAAAAATATCTGGAATTAAGAAACTAATAACGACTGTGAATCCATTGCTGATTGTCGGAAAAAACCACCCGGTTCACTAATGTCCTTTAGGGAAGGAAACTGCCATCCTCATCTTACCTTGTCTGACCTACATGTGACTCCATACCCACAGCAATGTGGTTGACTCTTAACTGCCTTCTGGGCAATTAGTGATGGGCAATAAATGCTGCAGAGTCAGCGATGCCCTCATCCCATGAATGAATAAAGCAAAAAAAAACTTGTAGGTTAGTGGAGTTTGCAGATTCTTCCTTGTCTGTGTGGGTTTCCTCAGGGTATTCCAGCTTCCTCCCATGGTCCAAAGATTTGCAAGTTAGGTGGACTGGCCATGCTAAATTGCCATAGTGTCCACAGATGTCTAGGTTAGGTGGATCTTCCATGGGAAATGGAGGGTTACAGGTATAGGATAGGCTAGGGGTGTCTGGGTGGGATGCTCTTTGGAGGGATGGGATGGACTCGATGGGACGAATTGGCTTGCTTACACACTGTAGGGATTCTATGATTCTAGTGGTTACATTCCACACCCAGTCTCACTCCCAATGCCATTTCTCTCTGTACCCTGAGGAGTGGGGAGAAGGGGTGCGTGTCTCTGTAACTTCGACGATTACACTGCTGGGAGTAGAGTTCATGGGTAGGACCACCCAAACTGCACAGGTGGGAAGGTGGGCATAGGCAGATGGGCCATGCTGGTAGGGGATGAGATACAGGAAAATTTGCAATTTTTATACAAACAACCCAGAGACAAACGCATTCTAAAGAAAGATCGTCAATCTGAAACTTTAACTTTGCAGACATGCTGCCAGACCAGTTGAGTAGTTCCAGCATTTTCTAACGATAAATCAGAAACAAGACCAGAAGCAGAAATATCTAGTGGGATAAACCTGTGAGCTGCCAGATGTAATGCTGGATGAGAGAAGGTTCACTCTATACAGGCAGCAGTGAAAGAAAGAGGTGCTGGTCAGGAGACTCAAATTAACTAGTGGTTCTGAATGCAAGAAATAATCCAAATATTAGAGAGTACAGATAATAAAGTGTGACTCTTAAAGTCTCCCCAAACTGATTTCTCTTTTATACATAAATCAATAATTGCAAAATATCAAGTATAAAGAGTTAGAATATTCCATAGCTTTCTCCCAGCTATCTGTCCTAGCCTACATCTCACTTTAAGGTTAGGCAGCCACTTTGTACAACTGGGGATGCTGAGACCACATAGACTAACCTGAGGTGCATGGACATACAATACTTCTGTTGTTTCTCAGTGATGAGCTGCATTGGATCCAGGCAACAATAGCGGTAAGTGCAGTTTCCACAGCAGAACTGAAAGAATGAGCAGTCAAAACCAATGTGCCAGTTTCCCTGTTTATCTGTGTACCACAAACAGTCATTGTCTGCAGACACTGCATGAGAAAGCAGAGGACAAGACGACAGAGAAATAGAAAGAGAATAGGATCAATTTTTTTTCAGTATTCTTCATAACAGACAAATCCCGGGAACAGGTTTGAGAGTTACATAATGTGTAAACATTTACTTCAAGTTGAATATTGTCTATTGAATGAAAGCATGAGAATGATTTAAAATAAAACTTACAATTTCGGAAGTTATTTAATAGGCCCCTTGAAGCCAAATTGTAATGAAAATACAACTTGTGAGAGCCAAAAGGAACAGCTAGATACAGGACAATAATCATCATTCTGTACTTCTAATCGAGCAGTAAAGGTCAGATAGGAACTCAAGACATCTCAGACATTGAAAATACTTTAACAATGGGAGTAAGGAGGAATATCACAGTGACAGAACCAGACACGGCTGTAAAATGGATAATACAAGAAGTTTCTGAAGATTCAAAAATGTTTTTACAGACACTAACTGGTGAATGATAACAGCCATTTATATTAAAGTGATAGTGCATTTTGATTGAAATTAGCAAGAGACTATAGAAAGGAGCTAGGTGCCGAGCTAATAAACTATCCACCAATTCATCATTCAAAAGCCTGTCAATGGCTTATTCCTCATACTTGAATCTGACTCTTTTAAATTTTTTTATGTTAATGCTCATCATTAGAAAACTGTACTTAATATTTCATAATGAATAAAAATGTATAACCAGTTTAGTATTTAATACAGTGGTTACATTACTAATCTATTCATTGAACGATCTGCCTGAATGGTCCAGAGACAGCAGAAAATTGGTCATCTTTCCCCAACTTGCGTTTACGTGATTTCAGACCCACAACAATATTGATAACTCCTGGCTGATCTCTGAAATGGCTAAATAAACCATTCTGTGTCCAAATTATTCGAAAACTTAAATATGAGTTAAATCAGATGTAACACCCAGCATTGACCAAAGCACTGGAATCAACAAAGGCACAATCAGCTCAAACAACCCTGCACAGTGCTTCTCACTAAAATCTGGAGCTGTGAAAAAATTGAGAGAACTGTCTCACAGACCAGTTAAGCAACAGCCTACATAGTCACGCCCACTGAATCATGTGTTACACACAATGTCCTGGAAGCCATCATCACTAACCCTGGGTATGGCCTGTTCCAATAGTAGGCCAGTCACAGAAGAGACTCAGCTCCTGACCTCATTACAACCTTGGTTCAAACATGGACAAAAGAGATGAATTCCAGAGGTGAAGAGTGGCTGTCCTTGACACCAAGGCTGCTTTTGACTGGGTTTGGAATCAAAGTGCCCCAGCAAAAGTGGAGTCAATGGGAACTGGGTGGGGAGGACTCTCCATTGTTTGGTGTCATACAACAGGAGATTGGTTGTGATTCGAGGTGGTCAGTTATCTCAGCTTCAGACATCTCTGCAGGTGGTGCTCAGGGGAGATGTTTTCCTAATCAACCTATTCAGAGATGTTATAACACACCTTTGGAGCAAATGGGACTTGAACTCTTGTCTCCTGGTCCAGAGCAGAGAGACTACCATTGTGCCACAAGAGCCCTAAGTGCTCAGTGTAGCTATTTTTAATCAACCTGTCCAGAATTACCCCTATGGAACTATTGAAACTTGAATCCGTGTCACCTAATCCAGAGATAAGGATACTGTCACTGCACTATGAGAGGCCTAAGGTGCTCAGGTATTGTCCTAGATCCATCTTCAGCTGCTTCATCAATGATCTTCCTTGAGGCTGTTGACTTGCTCGCTGAGCTGGCTTGTTCTCGTTCAGACGTTTCGTCACCATGCTAGGTAATATCATCAGTGAGGCCTCCGATGAAGCGATGTTGTTCTACTCCACTTGAAATTTATACTGTCCGCTCTGTTATGATGAGCTGTATCATTTCAGGTTCTGTGCTGTATGGGTTTGTACATTGGGTCCAATTCTATAATGTTTGTTGATTGCACTACTGATGGAGAACCATGCCTCTAGGAAATCCCGCGCGTGGCTATGTTTGTCTTGGACTACTATGGTTATGTTGTCCCGGATAAACTGATGGCCTTCATTGTCCGAGTGTACTGATGTTAGGGAAAGTTTGTTGTGTCGTTTTGCTGCTAGCTGATGATCGTGTATTGTGATGACTGGTTTCCTTCCTATCTGACCGATGTAATGTTTATGGCAGTTGTTGCATGGTATTTTATAAACCACATTGGTTCTGCATGTCATGGGTATGGGGTCTTTAATCCTTGTGCGTGTTTGTCATGGCGTGGCTGTGGGCTTGTGTGCTACCATGATTCCTAGTGGTCGTAGAAGTCTCGTCAGTTCTGATATGTTCTTGATGTAGGGCAGTGTGGCCAGTGTGTTAGGGCGTATTGTGTCCTCTTGTTGTTGTCTATTTAATAGACACCGACGGATGAAGTTGTGGGGATATCCATTCATAACGAAGATTTTGGACGGGTGCTCTTCCTCTTTCCTGCGTAGTTCTGGTGTGTTGCAGTGAGTGGTGACTTGTTTTACCTAGTTTACAAAATACCATGCAACGACTGCCACAAACATTATATTGGACAGACAGGAAGGAAACTAACCATCAGAATACACGAACGTCAGCTAGCAGCAAAACGACACAATGAATTTTCCCTCATATCAGTACACTCAGATGACAAAGTTTAAGTGAGACAATGTAACCATAGCAGCCCAAGCCAAACCTAGACACGCACAGGAATTCCTGGAGGCATGGTTCTCAACTCATAATGAAATCAACAAACATGTAGAATTGGACCCAATATACAAACCCTTACAGAACGGAACTGGAAATGACACAATTCACCATAACAGACAGGACAGTATAAATTCCAAGCGGAGTAGAACAACATCACTTCATTGGAGGCCTCACTGATGATGTCACCTAGCATGGTGACGAAATGTCTGAACAAAATCAAGCCAGCTTGGCCAACAAGTCAACAACATCACCCACAACCCAAGCTACAGATCTTTGCAAAAACCTTAAATGACCTTCCCTTCATCATCAGTTCAGAAGTGGGGCAGACAGATTCTAGTTAGACAAGGAAATCAAAAGTAATCGGGATAATGGGGATGTGGATTCAGGAACACCAACAAATCAGCAATGATCTTATTGAATTGTGGATCAGGCTTGAGGGGCCGAATCTTCTTCTAAAATAAAAACAGAAGTTGCTGGAAAAGCTCAGCAGGTCTGGTAGCATCTCAGTGACTTCAGAAGGGTCACTGAACCCGAAACATTAACTCTGATTTCTCTTCACAGATGCTGCCAGACCCGCTGTGCTTTTCCAGCAACTTCTGTTTTGTTTCTGATTTACAGCACCTGCAGTTCTTTCAGTTTTTTTAACCCCTTCTTCTAATTCATATGTTTAAATTTTCACTTATGATTGCACAACATTCAGCATTATTCATGCCTCCTTCAATATTGAAGCAGTCCATGTCCAAATACAGCAAGGCCTGGACAATATCCAGGTTTATGCTGATAAGTAGCAAGCAGTATTTGTGCCAGGCAATGACCATCTCCAACAAATGAGAATCTAACCAACGTCATCTGACATTCAATCGTGTTACCATCGCTGTATCGTCCACTATGAACAGCCTCGGGGGTTACCACTAAGTACAAATTGTACCGGACATGCCATGTAAATACAGTGGATACAACAGCATGTCAGAGAATAGGAATATTGCAACGAGTAACTCAAGCCCTTTCTCCCCAAAGCCTGTCCCACCATCTACAAGGCACATGTCAGGAGTGTTATGGAATACTCTCCACTTGCCTGGATGGGTGCAGCCCCAACAACACTCAAGAAGCTTGAACCATCTAGAACAAAGCAACTCACTATATTCGTACCAAATCCACAAACGTCCACTCCCTCCACCATCGATGTTCGGTAGCAGCAGCGGATACTATCTACAAGATGCACTGCAGAAATTTGGATAAGCACTTGAAATGTCATAACATTCAAGATTATGGACCAAGTACTGGAAACTCGGATTGGTGTGGATTTAGAGTAGCTTTGTCAGTGCAGATTCAATGGGCCGAAGGGCATCTTCTGTACTGCATGATTCTTTGGCCACAGGTTGAATGACTGCTAACGCTGTCCCATTATTTAAAAAAGGTGGAAGGGACAGAGCAAGAGAATTTAGGCCAGTCGGTCTAACCTCAGTGATGGAGAGGTTAATCGAAAATGGTCTGAGGGACAAAATATACTTGGAGACGCATGGATTAATCAGTGATATTAAGCATGGATTTATTAAAAGGATGTCTGAAGAAGGGTCTAGGCCTGAAACATCAGCCTTCCTGCTCCTCTGATGCTGCTTGGCCTGCTGTGTTCATCCAGCTCTACACCTTGTTATCTCTGTATAAAACACTGGTTAGGCCACAACTGGAGTATGGGATGCAGTTTTGGCAACCACATTATAGAAAGCATGTGATTGCACTAGACAGGGTACGGAGGAGATTCAACAGGATGCTGCCTAGAGTGGATGGTATCAGCTATGAGGAAGGATTGGATAGGTTGGGGTTGTTTTCTTTGAGCAGCAAAGGGTAAGAGGCGACCTAACAGAGGTGACCTAATAGAGGTGTATAAGATTATGAGGGGCATCAATATGGTGGACAGGTAGTGACCTTTTCCATTAGTGGAAGGGGGTCAATACTCAGGGGGCATAGATTTAAGGCAAGAAATAGCAGACCAAGTGGGGACTTGAGAAGAATATGAGAATGCCTGAAAGGGTGGTTAAGACAAAAATTCTCATAACATGGAAGCAATATTTAGGTATCTCTGGCATTGCCATTAGCCTCCAGCGCTATGAATCAAGAGCTGGAAAATGGGATTCGAGTGGTTAGATCTTTGTTTATCGGCACATACACGATGGGCAAAAGGCATCCTTCTGTGCGGTAAATATTAATGAGCCTATAAACCACTCACCATCCTGACTTGGAAATATGTCGTCGTTCCTTCAGTGTCACTAGGTCAAAACCTGAAACTCCTTCT